GGAGGTGCGAAAGACATGTTGGATTGTCCTAGCATCTTTGACTAAAGAGCTAGTTTCTCCAACATGAAAAGGTGCATTGGTTTGGCGAAGGAAGTGATTCACTGTGGACCAGTCAAGGTCAGGATCTGAAGCGATTAAGTGCAGCTTATCCCCGGTGGTGGATAGCTGTAAGAGATCAACACAGTCCTGATATGTGATTTCGGTAGGGCGTCGATTCACATAGAGGTCAGGACTGTGAAGGTAGGGTTAATGTGAAGGTTTGCAAAGAATTCTCGAAGAAACTCGGTATTAAAGGGGAAAGCAAGAGACAGAATGAAATAAAGGGAGGTGTGAGCGAAAAGATCCATTACCGATATGAGATGTGGGTAGGATTGATGATTCTGGAGATAGTAATCCCACATTCTTTGTATCGATGGTAGACAGCTTCATCCTCTGCCTCCCTAAAATGAGGTTCAATCGTAGCCCTCAAAGAACTCCCAGAGGTCTATCGAACATGTTTCCCACCGGCCATAGCAAGGGATTAGCAAGGAGACACAAGAGGAGAAGGGATGAAGTGGAAAATATGGCTGGATCGGCCAGAATTTAAAGAAACAGCCATATCGTCTAGGCCGATCGCAAAAACATCCAGGACGATATGGCTCAATAATTGCGTACATGCCGATTGGTCAAAAAGGCAGTCCGATCGTTCAGGCCGATCAGATATCGGCCAGGACAATTAGACACAGGCAATCGTCCTGAAAAGTCAAGCCGGACGACCATTGAAAAAGCAGATCGTCCTGGCCGATTAGCTGTATCGTCCAGGACGATGCATAATAATTGATCATACCGGCCGAAGTTAAAACGTTTTAAATCTGTACCACGTGCATCCTCCAGGACGAACAGTGGATTGGCCAAGACGATTGTCAAATAATGGATCGTCCGGGGCCGATTTTAAAGATTCAAACGTGCTGACATATGGATCGTCCGGGATGATCCAGTGTATCAGCCAGGACGATGCACATAAAATTCACAGGCCAGACAAAATATTCTATCATCCAGGAGTATCAGCATGATTGCAACAGAGTTCGATTAGATAGTCCAGGATGATGAGTTATAGCAAGCACAGAAAAAGTTCAGCAGATGGATTTTGAAGAGAATTTGCCCTATCGTCCAGGACGATAAAGGTATCGGCTAGGACGATGTGACTAGAATTTGAAACCAAGGAAAAGATGGTGATGATCAAGGCCCTCAAAAATAAAACAAAATAAAAGCAGACAAAAACACAGTAATAGAAAGCTAAAAACAACGAAAATAAAAAAAAATGAATATTTTTGAATTTTAATTTTCCTTTTTTTTATCAAGGCTTCATATGAGAAGTTCTCAAATAATTAAACTTTTAGAGTTTCACAAGATCAAGGAGTTTAGCCAATCCTAATCAGACAAAGGTAGAATATCTGATTCTATTAACCCTGGATCAGACGTTCTTTATGGTACAAATTTTCTTTTGAAAAATAAAAATGCTTAACTCAGAATAAACTTAATTGGGCAAAAAGAATATCCAATCAAAGCTTGTTTACAAAGGAAAAATCTTGTACATAATAAAACAAAGTAATTTGTCTCAATCATGAAATTTGAAATCAAGCCTTTGAAATCATCAAATAATCAATAAGTTTTCTAAGTTTTAAGAGTTTAGAGAAGAGATAGTAGCTTGAATTTAGTGGGCTTATTTTATGCCTCTTTTGTCTTTGAATTGGCTCTTTGAGCATCTTGATTTTTGATACACTTTTGTGTATTTTTTTTTTCAATTTAGCGTCATTGGCCTCTTTCCTTTTTAATTTTTGCAAGCTAAAAGCTCTTTAAAAAAAATCCTTAAAAGAACCTTAGTTGTGAGTATATCCTCCAAATATTAGAGAATAGGAACTCTCTGTCTAACATAGGGAAGAATAACCAACCAAACAAAACCAAAAAATCATATGATTAGTGCAAAGGCAAGATCTCAAATAACTTGAGAGATATATAAGAACTTTGAATATTATGCACAAGATAGTTTTTGTAGCAAGATAAAAAGAATCTTAGTTTCAAAAACCATTTGCTAAAATGAGTTAGACTTTTGTTTGGAGAAGAAAAATTATACCACTAAACAAGGTCAGAAGAAGGGAAACCATCAACAGTGTTTCTCCCTTTAACCAATTTTAGAAAAGCTAACCACAATCTTCAAAACTCAAAAAATCTAAAATCTTGAAAAGATTCAACATATGGAAACCAATTGTAAAAGCAAAGTGAAAGCAAAACAAATTAAAACAACTACAAAGCGGAAATAAAACACACAAAAAGGAAACACATTTCAAGAAATTATTGAAGCAGCAGGTTTAAGTATTTATGAGCTGCTAGCCTTCAAATGTCCAGTTGTCCTATGCTCCCACAAGGTCTTTGGTGAGAGCATTCCTGCAAAACTCAACGACAGTCAGATTTAGGAACCCAGACAGTTTTGGGCTCCTTCTTAGGAAAAGTAGAATGCAATGCAGATATGATATGCTGTGAATCATGCATCTTAGGTCTCCACACATAATGTGTACTACAGTGAACGATGCAAGTGTGTGAGATGTGTCCTAGCATGCCACATGAAAAATATCTAACTCCAGGAAAAGGGTTTCTTAAATGGTTTGAGTTATAATGCCTCTTCCTAGGTTCTGGCCTAGGATCAAAAGTAGATGTCATCCGATTTTTCTTACATGTATCCAAATCATTTTGAATCCTCAAGTTAGTTCTTTTTAATGCATCATTATCAATCCTCAAAATTTTCTTAATCACTTTAGATTTCTTAAGATCAAAATTAAGTGAGGTGTGTGAAACTTTTAATGCATTATGTTCATCAATTAATTCCAAATGCTTTTTGTTTAAATCATCAAATTCATCAAAAAGAGCCATGTGATTTGAATCAATTGTTGAATGATCTTTAAGAATGACTTCATACTCTTTTTGCAAATTCACAAGTTCCACTTTTAAGCTAGCATGAGTCTTCTTAAGTTTTCTGTAAGATGTATGAATTTTCTCACAAATCTCAAATAATTCATCATAGGTTGGTTTACATACCTCTTCCTCATCACTTTGCTTAAGATGATCTTCACCCATTAAGCACAGGTTTGTGGTCTCTTCCTCTGATTCAGTCTCAGAGGAATCAGTACCAAATTCTGCCCAGAACATCTTTTGGACTCTCTTCTTGTCCTTCCTAAACTTAGATTTCTCCTATCCTTTTTCCTTTTCTTTGCTCGAGTAATCTTAAAGTGCAGGACAATCAGCTCTCACATGTCCAGGCTTCCTGCATTCATAACAAACAACATCAGAAGATCCTTTAGAATGTTTATGATCCCTACCTTTTCTCTAATGATGATTTTGCTTCTTCCTTAGAAAGCTTTTGAATTGCCTTGTGATGAAGGCAACTTCATCGCTTTTAGACCTGGAAGATTCAGAATCTGATTTGTGTGCATTTAGTGCAACTGTTTTCTCCTTCTTATTCTCACCTGCATCAAAATTTCTTTGATTCACCCCTTGCTCGTAAGCAATGAGTGAGCCAAGTAAGTTATCAATAGAATAAGTGTTCAAATCCTTAGATTCAGTGATTGCAGTGATTTTCGCATCGTATGACGAAGGCAAGCATCTCAAAATCTTATTTACTTTGTCATAGTTTGAAAGTTCTTTTTCTAGTGCATGTATTGAAGTAACTATCTGAGTAAACCTAGTGTACATGTTAGAAATTGATTCATGAGGTTTCATACGAAAAAGTTCGTAGTCATGCAAGAGAATGTTCAAACATGATTGTTTAACCTCACTAGTGCCTTCATAGGTGATACACAATTTATCCCAAATTTTTTTACCAATTTTGCAAGTGGAGACACGCATGTAATCCTCAGATTTTAAAGCACAGAAAAATAGTTCAAACATTTTGCATTCAATTGAGCTAAATCTCATTCATCGAAAGTCCATTCAGTAAAAGCAACTTCAGTTTTAACACCATTAATTTCACGAGAAGGTGGAGAATAACCTTCTTTGATAAGCATCCACATGCGATAATCAGTAGATTGTAAAAACGTTGACATGCGGGTTTTCCAGAAATCAAAAGGTAAGTTGTTAAACAAGGGAGGTCGTGTAATTGAATAACCTTCCGTAGTGTTACGATTCCCAAGGTTAGCTATGGATCAAAATTTAAAAAGTTTTCAAACTCAGTTTTTTGAATCCCGCTCTGATACCACTTGAAAGTGCTCAGATGACACTAGAAAGTGCTCTAATACCACTTGAAAGTTCGTTAGGGATGTTAAGCCCTATGGAAATGGCCCAAGCTAACCAAGAGGGGGGGGGGTGAATTGGTATTTTAAAATTTTCTTTTCTCAAATAACAAAAATCACATAAACCAAAATCACACCACGAGAAAAATAAATGCGGAATTTAAAAGTACGGAAGTAAGAAACAAGAACACAGAAATTTATAGTGGTTCGGTCAACTCGACCTACGTCCACTCCCGCGTTGGTTTGATTTTTTTGAGTTCCAGCACGCGAGGCGGCGAGGGACAGCGCAGGATGGCGGTCGTCAGCATGCATCAGCAGCAACAGCAGCGTGCAGCGTGCAACGACGATGGCGGTCGGCAGGCCAACAGCATGTAGCGTGCAGTGGCAGCAGCAGGCAATGTGCAGTGGTGGCGATGCCTGCGAGCCAGCGACGCGATGATGCGAGCAACTGCGATGTGACGTGAGGTCGCGAGCGACTGCGACTCGACGCGAGCGGCGCGTGTGGGGCAGGCGGTGTCGCAGACTCGCAGTCGGGCAGATTTAGCTCATTCCCGGGTTTCCGGATTAACCCGAACCCGACCTGGTTTTGCAAACGAGACAATTTTCTGAACCTGAACCCGACTCGCTTTAGATTTGGGTTAACTCATACCCGAAATTTTCGGATTGGGTCTAATATTGACATGTCTAATCTAGTTCTTACATATAAACACTTCTTGGAGCCTAATTGCACTCAAATCTTTAAATTCTCTAACCCGGCGGTGGACCTCCGGTGAGGTCAGCAGTAATGAGGTTCCGTTCCTGTTTTGGGGTTTCTCAGGTTAAGGCCTTGTCGTCGCGCTTCCGCAGATTGTATTCCCATCTGCGGCCGCAAGGCCGGAGGTTTTCTCTCTCAGATCCCGAACTCTTCTTCTCCGTTTTATTTCAATCATTGCAATTTGTTTTCGCTGTTGCATTCATCTGTTGACGATGCAGGCCTTCCTTTGGTATTGCGTTCGACATTGACGGTGTGATCATTCGAGGCGGTAATCCCATCGGCGGATCTCCACAGGCGTTGAGTAGGCTACATGCAGAGGACGGTAGGGAATGATTCTCAAAATCTATGCTTTTTTGAATTCTTTTCCAAATGAGTGGAGATTAGATTTCCTTTCGAAGCAACAGAAATCAATTGGTTACAGTAAGAGGCTCTTTTTTTGAAAATAAAATTATGCACCCCGTTTTTCGTTTTAGAGCTACTTCACTTCTAGCATATGCCGATCTTCATGTGCGTTGAACTTAAAAGATCACATTTGCAACTTTTTTTTTTAATGTTTTTTTTTCCTAACTCTTCCTCCTCCTCCTTTTGGTGTCCCTGTAAGGAAATTGGTGTCCCTGTAAGGAAATGAGGCGTATTATATAGAAAAGGAGCTCAAGGTAACATGACAATGAGTTATTTATTTATTTATTTTTAACTTTTATAATAGCGTTCTGTAAAAAAATTAGTTCTTTCACATATTTAGAGGCTGTAATTTCTTTTAAACGCAGAAATGCAGGATTAGGAGAAATTATTGATATATCAGGATAACAAATTACGACATTTTACACAGCTATAATAAAAAAAACGTCGATTGGTCATCTGCATTTGCGAAGTTTGCAGTTAATAATTTCTCCGGGATTAGGGTAGTAGCGGAATCTCAACACTGAGACCCTAAGTAATGGCTGACTTTTTTTTTTCTTTTTTTGACATTTAAGCCAATTAAGACAAATTCAATCACATTCTATGCAAACTTCGAATTCAAATCCTCTTGATTGGGAGCCAAAACTTCCATCAAAAAGATCAAGATGAGTTCCATAATAATAGCTCATTTGCTCATGATAAATCCATAGAGAATGTGGGGGATCCTTCTTCTCTTAAATAACCTTATGCTTGCTATTTAGGAGATATTTAATGAATCATTCTTCTCCATTCATTCATATTGATTAGCACATGAGATCTTACTATATATTTCAATAAATCTATTTGCACAACTTTTATTCATAATATCCTGGACACATCAGACAAGAAAAATAATTGATCATAATTTATTGTTTCTAAAAAATTAGGACCTCATTCTTTTGATTAAAATATTGTAGAGGGTCATGGAGAACTAAACAAGTTATCGAAAAATCTAAAAGAAATAATACGATGGTTATGATGAAAAAAAATCAAGCTGCTTGGTTTAAGCAAATTGCAATCTCAAGAACAATAGTTAGAGATCAGTGTATCTTTAAAAAAAAATAAATAAAAAATAGTTAGAGAACTATGAGTTGCCTTGCCCTTCATTTTCATTCATATTTGTACATCCCTTTACTTCAATTTTGATGTTGTATTATTTGCATTTAGGATTAATACACCTTAAAGCATAGGTTTCTCATAAATAGGCATCATCTTCCATAAGGAAGATTATTATTCTCGTTTCTCTGGGTTATTAATTCATAAACTTTAACACAAAAAATTGAAGGAAGAAACTTACCAACCACATTTTTCCTACGCAGGCACCTTGAAGATTCCATATATATTCTTAACTAATGGTGAGCATTACATTGCCTCTTTCTGACTTTTTCTGCTACAACATGCTACATTCTATTTCGTGATAAGTGTACCTGTTAAATTCAGAAAATCTTCATTATTTCGTTTGACTTTCTTAAAAATTTTGGAGCATGAGATGATTTTCCAGACCATGTTTAATGTAAATTTGTTCTACATCTGAAGGCTATTCCATTTGTTTTTTTTACTAAGAGAGTAAGGCTTTGTTTTGTATGGCCATGTTGATATTGTGTTTTTGTTGTAAATCAAACAGTTGGAAAATCAAGCCAAATAAATTTCTAAAAATTAGAAAGAATTTTAGTAATGTCAAAACTAAATTTTAAATAAAATACAACTAAAATAAATATATATTTTTATTTATCATTCTTGATTCTTTAGTTAATTCTACTCATTCAATTTATATTGAATACAACGTAATCTCACATGCTGAAAATTTTTAAACATTGACTTTCCACTTGAGTTTTCTGACTTGAACGTGCCTTTCTCCTGCAAGTAACAGATACTTTAAGTTAGCCTAGAGGAATCAATCATCATCCCCATGGTTTCTAATATTTGGTTATCTTGAAAGAAATATATAGGAAATCATTAATGACACCAGACGAGGCTTGGCTTCTCATCATAACATTGCCAATGAGTCACTAATGAGTCATCGAAGCTGATGGGGTGAATAATTTTTGAATAAGATGGATATATTTATCAACTTTTATTTCACATCTATCCTTTGAGATGCTGTCTTTTATATTCTTATTTTAATTACTGTCTAACTAAGCCTTTCGTCTACAGGGTTTTATTATAATTAGAATATTTTGGTTCTATAGTATTTGTGAAATACATTTGTTATACAAACTTTCTTTTGAAATCCTATTTTGTTGGATAGGAGGTGGAGTCCCTGAATCCAAACGTGCTTCCGAATTAAGTGGGCTTTTGGGAGTTCAGATCTTAGCTTTGCAGGTAATTATTGCACAGTACTAATTTATTTGCATTTTTGCTAAAGTGAATGTATTGTCACAATTGATGTATTTGCATATATAATGTACCTATGGATATGAACATGTCTTGAACTATTTGTTTATTTTAAAAAGCTGTGTTGAAATGGAATTCATATCCAACATCGTAAGTACTAAGAAGCAAACCATTAGCTATAGTATTCCACTAGTTGCAATTTGTACTTAGAGTTAGAATATTAAAATAGCAGATTATTTATAACAAATATTGTAGGGAGTGCCATCAGTTATCAAAATATTACATGATAATATAGAAAAGCCAGATAATAGCTGTTACAGTTTGTTGTTTGGACTTTTAGCCTATTTGTCTTAGAAGGCTTTTTTAGCATCATGCAGGTTGTTCAGGGACATTCACTTTTCCGAGATCTGCTTAGCAGGTATTGTCACATTTTCTTCAGAGATTGTATTTTTTTTCTTGGGTGGGGCGAATAGACGATGGAGCTCATTCTTATTTCTTTGTGTTGTGAAGAATATTTACATGTTCTTCTCATGGGAATCTTCATTTGTCAATTCTTTTGATGAATTAAGGCTCCAGTCATAAAAAATCTTTGTTCCTAATATGTTCATTGCAACAGATTTGAGAATGACCTTATTGTAGCTGTTGGTAAAGGGGAGCCTGCTAAGGTGATGCTAGAATATGGGTTCAAGTAAGCATGCTTTATCTATGCTATTTTTCCTAATCTAAGCCACACACTATTTTTTTGCATATTTGAGCGTAGAGGTGTTTAATGACAGCTTTCAGCATGCTCGGTATCTAGTTTAATAATTACTTTTATTTGCAGAAAAGTTCTTTCTATTGATGAATATGCATCATTTTTCAAGGACATTGACCCCCTATCTCAGTACAAGACTTGGAGAATTAATCAAAATTATGAAATTATGAAAAACATGAATGGATTGTACTCAAGATACAATGTTGACTCAGATGCAGTAAAAGGGACGTTTATTGTCAGTGATCCTGTTGACTGGGGAAGAGACATACAGGTACTCGTTTTTATGATACCAGAGAAAACGTACGCTTCTTCTTGGCTCTTGGCTTTATGCATTTTTATTACTTCGGTTGAGTCAACCAGTGTATTTATTATAATTATGTCCATAGCCTATCTAGATGCCTATATAGATTTAAATCAAGCAGTTATTTATTCAGTCATTTATAATAATGCCTGATGTCATCTCAATATCGACGTCTGACGTTGTTACAATGTCGATATTTCAAAACCATCTCAACATCAAAGTTTGACATTGTCTTGACATTGATCTCAGCACTAGCAATTTATACACAACTTGATGACTCATCTTTGTTCGACATCTTAACATTGATGACTAATGCCTTCTCAACATCGACAACATACGCCCTTTTGAAATTGATGTTCGATACTTACTGCATAACATCGATGCTTGATTCTCGACAGCATTGTTGTCTTCTCTCTCGATGTCTAATACACGACATTAGTGCTCGACATCCTAATATTAATCATTTTAAGCACAAATTATAGTTAAAATGACTTATTTTTTTAAAATTATTTTTAATACCATACTTATTACAATTTTATGCACTATTTTTAGAATATAAAAATTATAATATTGTTTCCAACCCTTGTCCATGTCATATATTTTCAATAATTGATGTGTCACGTGTCCGTGTCGTGTCGTATCCGTTTCACCGTGTTCGTGTCTGTGCATCATAGGACTAATGTGAATATAAGCTTTTGTATTGTTGATGCTAAATGAACACTTAAGTGTCATTTATTTGTCCTTTCTATCATTTCCTATTTGCGATTAATCTTTTTTTAATAAAGATATTTATTTATTGTAAGGTTAACTAGGTGTCTACTCTATGTTATTTACAAAATGTCATCTTTTTATGATTAATATGAATAATAAAATTTTTACTATTTCAAATGAGGGAAATATGATAATTGTGAGCAATGTAAATTTATGTTTTAGATTGTTGGGATTTGACTTGAAACGGACATGTATGCACACTATAATTGAGAATTTTTGTCAAATATCAATAGGTAGATGGAGCATAAGGTGATGAGTTGGAATGGAGCCGTGACGTAAGGTTTAAAATGCCTATAGCAAGAGCCTGTGTTTTTTAACTTTTGAGTAGTCATTTGACATGCATGCTAGCTTTGTTTAGAATTGGTTTGATGAAAAAGACAATGAAGATTGAATTATCAAACATGTTCATAGTTGATGGGGGCATCCGATCATGAAAAATATATCAGAGATGTGGCCGCCGATCTACGGCCACGATGGCAACTCTTTATTTTTGATTATAAGTGTTGTATTTATTTATTTTCTGCATTTTTCCAATTATGTCCTTGAGGGATTCGTTATTTGTAAGCCCTAGGGGCAATGATGTCTTTTATTTTTCCTTAATGTATTTGACTATTTAAAGTCTCTCCTCTTCTTTGAGAGAGTTAATGAATGATTATTATGAAAATTTCTGCAAAAGTGAGTTCTTGTGAGAGTTTGAGATTCTTGGAAAGAAATCCCAAGGAGAGGGATACGAATCACCCACAAGCCACAGGAAGTGTCCGGGCTGATGGTTGCCTTCATCTCTTCTTCCTCTTCCCCTCCCTTTCCTCCGTCTCCAGTAAAACATCGGCCTAGGGTTCTCCCACTCACAAAGCCGCCGGCTTCCTTCCCCCCATTCTTGGCCAACCGAAGGCCAAGTCCTTCTTCCACTGCCGCTCCCTTTAATCCAAGGTGGCCCTTGCCTTTGCTACTTCCCAAACTTAGGTTATGAAGATAGGGAGGGAAAATAATTCAAATTTAGATTTGAAATCTTTCCTAATTTGACATTATCTATATTTGGAAAGTTTTAAACCATTCAATTCAAATTAAGAGGAAATAGGAGTCATCAATTCCTCCTAATTTAAATAGCCTTATTTAGGAAACCCCATTAAACCTTTCCCTAACCCCTCCCTCTCTCTTTGAAGTCGCCAGCCCCTTCCTCACTGTCCCTCCATTCAATTAGTTTACTTCCTCTTATTGCTCCCCAATTAACTCCCATCCCAAGGCGCCGTTCCTAACTAGCCCCACTTAATGAAAATTTCAAATTCCATTTGCTGTCCCAAAATTCCTGCTCAAGGAATCTCGCATTCCTGCTGTCCTAAGCCTCCAAATTGTTGGCCGCTCTTCTACAGCTTGCTGTCTAGATGTTTCAACACAATTTGGTTGCTGTCCTGCGCTTTGAAGTCACCTAGTTTGCTGTCCAGAAGTTCCTGCTATCTGTCCACGCATTCCATCAAGAGTGTCCTGCTGTCCTGCACCATTAGAGAATTTATCAAGTGCCAAAACTGCTGTCCAGGCTTCCATAGTGGCTGTCCAGACATCCCTAGCTGCTGTCCAGCAATCCCAGCAGACTTTCTGCCGCTATCACGCTGTCCAGAAGGCCTCCGATCGTCGTCAAGAAGGTTATTGAACCCTGAAGTTATTGTCCACTCTTTCTCAAACATTCAAACGACCTCACTGGAGCTTCGTAACTCCTTTTATTTGGGTAAGCTCTTCCTCCTACTCTTTTATCTTCTAGTTACATTCAAATTGTGGTTTATAATTAATTCATAAAGGTTCTTGTTAATCCCTCTCCGAAAGCTTAGTAATTTTAGAGAGTTGTGTGAGTGGATCTTTTCATAGTGAGTTATCTCGTTGTTAACTAAGGAATTTTTGTTGAAGCTCTTCTATGTATGCTATGTTTGATCTAATGGCTATTTAAATGGTCTTAGCTTTCATGTGTGTAACTTAGCCTAAACTAAATTCATCCAATTTTGTTTTACTTTATTGTTTAGATCTCTACAAGTCTAATTAATATTGTTTCTAACAATTCAAGCGTGCAAAATTCCTATCTAAATATTGCCTGAGTATTTAGTTCTACATCAATAGTTTTTAACATTAAAAAAGAAACATTATTAGACTCATGGTTTTTAAAATCGGTCGAACTAGCTGGTTCAACCGTGAACCAGTCATATGGCCGGTTCAGTTTGCTTAAAAACCATACTAATATTAAACCAATGTGAATCGGTTTGAATTGCCCATTCAACTGACCAACCATTGAATTGGTCCCGATTTTTAAGAATTGGCCTATTTAATTAATATCCTATTTAAATAAATAAATTAAATAATATAATATAAAATATTTAATTAAATATTACATTTAATAAATTAATTTAAATGTAACATATTGTAATTTTATAATGAGTCTAAATTTTTATAATGATTATTTATCAATTAAGCACCAACGAAACATATCTATATGATCCCACCATCCCACGTGAGTAAATTTATTTTAGCCAAAAATTTATATTATTATTATATAGTTTATTTTTTATTTAAATACTTATAATATAAATTGCCTCTTCTCGTTCAACCCCGGTCAAATCATTAAACCTTGAATATCTCATTTTTCTAGTTCGACATCCGGTTAAGTTTTCATTACTTTGGTTAGATTATATTCCATTTGTCATCTTACATTCGATGTTCATCTTTGGTTTTGTAGTACAACAATTATTGGGTAAATTTTCTTGCTGGCATTTTTCAATTCTTGTTTGCAATGTCAGCTTATGAGAATCTGTTGTTGCTGTTTGCTTGCTTGCCAATAGAGATATTTTTATTGTTAAATTAACAAAATAATTGAAATTATTTTAAACGAACCAGCATCAGTCTGATGTGGAATGAAGATCGGGTGCTACTGCTTGGAACTGCAGGACTCCTTTTACTATTTACCCGGCTTTTGTGTTACTCTATGTTCTTACCATTCTCTTCATTGTTCTAGGTTTACAGGAACCTTTTGAAGTAATATAATTCTTTGTAGTATTTTAGTGTATAAGAAACTCAACAACATTCACTTGTTGTGGCTTTTGAGTCATAATTTTTATTCGCCTGTTTATTACACAAGCACCTAAAATATATTTGATTTGATGGCCAAGAAAAAATTGTACCAGTAAATTCATAAATATGTAAGACGTCAATTTAACATTAAATGCGAGTGCTTGTGCATTCACATTACCCTCCCCGTCCAAGTGAAGGTTAGAAAATATTAAGAAAGGCCAGTGTACATAATTACATCTCTACAAACTTGGGATGGATTTATAGTGTTAGTAGACTGAACAATGATATTCAACTCAAGATTTTATTGTTTTATGCCGGTTTACTTCACATTATACTAGCAATTACGATTAGTGGAACGTAGAGATAACATCAGCAGTCACTTGTAGGTTCTTTGTGACATTTTAAGCTGTGGCGGTCTTCCTGGTAAAGCAAAAGGGCATCAACCTGCTTTATATTTTGCATCGGATGATCTGGAGTATCAGGTGAATTAAACCTCTACTTATAAAAAATCTTCTTCCTTCATAAAAAAATTAAATTCTAGCATTTGTTTGATGCAATGATTTCTTTTTCACCTTTCTTGCTTCTATCATGAATCAGAAAGATTCTGAAGTAGGTTAGCCCAGCTGAATCAATAGTGATCTTGATGCAGGCTGCTTTTCCTTCTGAACGTTTGGGAATGGGTGCTTTCAGGATAGCACTGGAAAGCATCTTCAATAGGTTTGTCAAAATCCTTAGTCATTCATGATATAATTCTAAATATTTGGTTGCCTTATTTTTCTATTTTGAAGCTGCAGTGTTAATAGTACTCCTCTGTGGTATACTTCGTTTGGAAAACCAAATCCATATGTATTCAAGATTGCAGAATCAGTTTTGATGCAAGTTGCCTCAACCAGATACGGTGGACAGTGTACTGTGGATGACACAAAGGAAAATAAGTTCAGTACAATCTACATGATTGGTGATAATCCAATGGTAGACATCAAAGGTGCTACTAAGGTTTGTCTGCAGCCATAGCCACATGCTTTGAAGTTGCAAGTGCTAACTACCTTCACAAGCAGGGTAATCGCTGTTGGATGCTGCACATTTAAGGATTTTTAAGTATCCATGCAACCTTGCTTCAAAGAATATATGAACCTATGATTCCGTCGACTTTTAACATTTTTAATTAGTATGCAATAACTGGTCTGGGCAAAAAATTCACAGGCATCTAGACCAAATTTTTTATTCGGATTGAAGATATTCTTAAAATACATGAAATACTTATCTGGTCATATGTGGTCAATTTAATTCTATTGTAACACATTTCTCCAATTTAACCTCTCAACTATACAAAATTAATCCCAAACAATTCCTCATTGAGAATTTAACAAAAAATGGATACAAAATTGATCCCAATTTAATCCTACAACTGTGCAAAATTGATCTCAGTTTATTTCCTAGACTAAAAAATGAATTAGTAGAATAAATATAAGGATAGTGACACTAAAATACTAAGACACTACATAAATTCATATTTATCATATGTGATTTATTTCAAGGTGCAAATAATTATAGTTTAGAGAGTTTGAATGTTGTTGGAGGATGAACAAAAAGGGTTGTTGTAGCATGGAAGTATTGAAATCCATCCTGTTGAAAACACATATCGAAAGAAAAGAGATGAAGGAAGCATATCCTGAAATCAACAATATCCATAAAAGGCTGTTATCATTGATCCTTTCACAACTATGGAAATCTCTTTGGAAGCTTGAAAGGTCTCATGTACACTACCATAATGATCCAGCCTAATTGAAGTACTAGTTGATTGAAGTTAACTGTTTTTTTCTCCATTGAGGCTTATATTTGGGTTGGTCTTATTGGATTAGTTTTAATCCAGTTTATCAACTGTGCTAGCCCGACTTTAATTGGATTGGATATGGTGTGATTGGGTAAAACTAAGGTTTGGTAAATAGTAAAATCAGATAGGTTTAAGTGGAGTTGATTGGATAATTAGTGTGTTTATTAAATGAAAGAGGGTGTTTTCTTTTCATTTGAACTGTAAAACTAATGCTCATGGGATAGTAACGAGATGATGAATTATACTTTAAAATGGGTGGTGTGGTTTGGGTATTTGAGGTTTGAATTTTATATGTAATGTTTGTTAATGATGCTTTGGAAGTGGATAAAAATTGGTTTGAACTAGGCAGGAATTTTTAGTTTCAAATGTTGGATAGGATTTTGTGGATATGGATGAGGAGTAAGTAGAATTAGATATTTCAAATTTAAGACAAATGAAGGCGGCTTAAATGGAGGTGATTTTTAATTTGAATTTGAAGGGATGTGTTAAGAATTTAGTTGAGGTGGATGGAGCAGGAATGATGACCAACCAATCCAACTGCTGCGGGTCTGAGAGATATGGATCACCTTTATTGCTTCTGGAATAATAACTTCATGCTGTTGAATTTCATGAATGTATATGCGGAAGTGTACCACACATTTCAAAGAAATGAGAAGGATAAGCAACTAGTTAGTTTAGGATTAGGGTTGGAATTTGAATTAGAATTAGTAAAGATGGAAAATGTTGTTAGGGTTGTTAAAGGGATGTTGGCTGGTTGGTATGGCCACTACAAGGTGATGACCTGGTGAGGAAAACAATATTTCTCAGCGGCAAACAGAAAATGTTTCCTATTATTTCAATTGGCTTATGTTTTAGTGGTGTGGATAGATGTGGAATAGTCATGGGTGAAAGGAAAAATAAAAGACAATGAATAAAACAAAAAGTGAAAATGACGACAAGAAAATTTATGCTTCTCATGGCCATAAAAAGGTGCAGGAAATTTGTTTTGATACTAATTGATGCAGGGGGACGCAACCCAAGTTTTTCAAAAATCATGATTAATTGAGGATGGGTGAAGAAAGAAGTGGATAGAAGAAGATAGAAGAATATGGCGCAGAGCCTAAGTGGGAGAAGCATGCCAAATATCATTTCATTCTCATAATGGCAATCTGTATTATAACTTTGGACCTCTATTTATTGGAGAAAAATCCAACAAAAAGTATTTAAATTTATACAGGATGATCAAATGACATTACTGCATATTATAATTAAAAAATAATTAAAAATAATCATAGAAGAAATATTATGATAATGATATCGAATTACTAAGATATTTTACATATTAGATATTTTTTCCTATGTCAATCTTCCTTCTTCTTTTTTTTTAATCATATGAAAAGGAAATATTTAAGATCTATTTATTTTTCTGATCTTAAAAAATATATAAGATAATTTTTCGGGCTAAGGCATATTGGTAGGGAATACTTGAAATTCTTTCATATTTACCATGAAAGACTTAACGATCTTTACATTGTTTGCTTACAGGCAGGGCGTCCTTGGTTTTCCATTCTAACAAGAACTGGGGTTTTCAAGGGTAAAGATAACCACCAGGAGTATCCTGCAGACATTGTAAGCGGAAAATGCACTTGAGATGTGAATCGTTTTACTTCTTTAGCATCTACTAGAATCAACGACGTTTTTGTGTGGAGATAATGCTAGTAAGGGTCTATTTGGGCCATTTTTTTTTTTTGCAAGTTTGTGTTTTTCAGATGTTTATTACATTTCTGTTTGATTATCATTTTTTTATTGTTTTTTTAGAAATTTATGTTATAAGAAACACTTTTTAATAATCGGATGTGCTAAAATTTGATAGTTGTAAGAAAGCTAATGTCTATTATTTTCTGAAGGGAAAAATCTATTAATACTCATGATATTATTCAAAAATATATTTTTTCCAACAATTTTACGAAGATTTTATAGGTAGTTGTAGTTACCCCAAATAGACCTTAATCAGCTCCATACTTTGTGAGAACAAGGCTTCATGTGTGATAGCTTTTTTTTTTAATGCTTTTGTTGTAGGAAAAGTAGTCACAAAAATATTGTTCATTTGGATTGATTATAAATTTTTCCCTGCTTTAAATATTTTTTCTTTGGAAAAATTATTTTTGGTTAAGTATAATCAAACTTTTGGTTAAAAGCAAAAGTTGGTTTCTATGTTATAATTTCATCTATGCTGACTTCATCCAACTATTTTTTGCATCATTTGTTTGGGCCAGACCTTCAGCTACCAAGTCTAGCCATGTACCGCCTAGACAACTGATTTCCATAATGATAGATTCAAAATAGTTCAATCGACATGCTGTAAACCTCATGCCTTTCACATGAATGTAGTGTGGATGTACAGCAAGAACCATAATTTACTTCCAGGCTGAACTTTTGTTGACAACCAAATATAATTTTGTTTGAAAAAATTTCTGCTACAGGAATCTAGCCGTTTACTGCAGGCCTTATTTTCAGATGCCTTAATGAGGAAACAACATTGTATCTTCTGCTTGATTCTTTTCAGTGTTTGTTTTATCCCTGTGTTTGTTGCTAGTTCTTTCTATTTTATGAACAAAGCTGAGAACTTACTTTCATTTTATACAGGTGGTAGAAAACGTTGAGGAGGCTGTTGAGTATATTCTAAAGAAAGAAGCCTTTTGATTGGTTTTCAATGCTAGAAATCTCATCTTCATTCCAAGCTCAATGGTTTTAGAATCGTCAAAGCAACTGCCACGACCTGGCCCAAAATCTCAAAGTACCGAGGCAGAAGTAAATGATTTGATGGAATATTGAATGCTCTATTCATATTGAAAAAATTTCATCGCAGTCAATAACATAATTTTTCCCAAACATAGCTCTCAATACATAATTTTTTTCATACATCATAGGGTCTGGAATTATGGGAACAAGATCTGGTTACAAGCCAAATGTGACTTGAGGTTATGTTTGGGACAGTTTTTGTTTTTGCTTTTTAAAGTAGTTCTTCAGCACAAAATTTTGAACTAAATAAATTTTAATATTGTTATTTCAAAATACATAAGTTATGTATGGGTGCCGTGTATTGTTATGTATCGGGGTGATGTAATGCATCTTGATTCGTCTCATGATGGTCTGATGACCGCACGTAATAATTTCTCCCACTTGGGGCGGAGCCCAAGGTGTAAAAATTTTCATATTTGTAGCCTAGCGACCAAAAGACATCTCTTGCGGTCTACTATGTTTTTAGTATTTTGATATGATAAAAAGGCTTATCTTCCAATTGTCAGCTATATGCTCTTATTGTTCGTTGAATTATGATATCCATAATCTGATTTTATGTATTATGCTTTTGTTGATAAATAAACATAATCTTAATAAAAGTTGTTTTAAGATTACAAATTTCTCAAACCAAACAGGTTATTAATATGTAATAAAATCCTTCTTGCTTTCAAATAAATCTATTTTCATTTGAATACTAATAATCGAAGCAGAGTTATTTTTAAACTGGTGAGTCATTCTCCTAATGAAATATTTTTCTGAAACCATGTATATTTTATTTGTTTCTAGCTCGAGATTGATTTTGTTGTCTAATTGCACAAGTCGGTTATATTTAATATAGTTATATACATATATTATTACTGCTTACTAATATAATGTTTATATACCTATATTATTACTACATGTGCATTGCTTCTTGGTCCATTGCATTCACCTAATATAATCACCCAAATTCTCTTATGAATTTTATAAATATTCAAAATTAACACTAACTAATACTATGATAAGTTGGCTATACAATGGTTAAACCAAAGTACTGGGGAACTTCTGCAACATGGAAGGGTGATTTTAAAATATTTTTTTTTCGATTTATGTTTGAGGGAGAATAAATTAGGGAATATTCAATTACACATTTTAATAAAGAGGATTGGATGAATTTAATAAAAAATTTTCAAAAGAGAACATGTAAAGAGTATTATAGAACACAACTAAAAAACAAATGGGATCAAATGAAAGATGATTGAAAATTATGGAAAGAGCTAAAGCGAGGTTCAACTGAATTGGATTAGGATCCAAAAAAGAAGACTATTAGTTCACTAGATGAATAGTGGAAAGATAAAGTGGATATGACTAATATATATATATATATATATATGCTTATAGACAAATCAAGCGGCTTGATGAGAATTATAGAGACATTTTCAAATTTGCTTCATTGGCAGATTTTTTGGTAATGCCGGCTATGCGTCCGACAATCAATTTCGGTGAAGTTTCTTCTGCCGGAAATCTAAACATCAGTCCTCGACCATTGATGAATCAAATCTTTTCACCAAAGAATGCTCCGTTAGTGATTAGAGAACCATCATTCATTAATTTTGTTTCACCAAAACCTGTGATTGGAAAAGGCAAGGAGATCAAAGGAAAAGTGGATTCAGAAACTCCTAAACCCGATTTCTTCAAAAATTCAAGTAGTTTCGAAGCTTCATCTTCATCTGGTATGAAAATTATTGTCAATAGGTTTGGCAACACTGTAGCTAAATTAGTTATTATTTAGTAGGCTATCTCTGCAATTCAAAATGAGGATGATCCGTTAACTATTTGTGGGATTGCTCAAGTAAAGTCTTTGGTTGTTGATGGCCAAGGTGAAAATACTAATATGAAGTATAAAGATGTTGTAAATCCGTGGAATAAGAGTTTTCATAAAAAGGTTAATCTTTCTTAGGAAGAACCTTTTTTGATAGAGGATGGTTCAGCGGTGAGGCTTCATGAACCAAGTGTTAAGGCTAATTCTGATCGATTAAAATTTTCTTTGGTTTTTAAGGCATTTGGAAAAAGCATTCCACTAAAGTTGATTGCTGACGAGCTTCGGAGAAAATGGAGTCATTTTTGGTAAATTTCATTTGACTTCTCTTGGTTTAGGATGGGTTTTGTGTTCCTTTTTTCAAAGGATGTGATGGAGAAAATTATGTTTGGAGGACCTTGGTTTGTTAATGGTCACTTAGTTGATATGGATAAATGGAGTTCAGATTTCTCTCCTTCTTCATTAAAAGAATTGAGCTCGCCGGTTTGGGTTAGGATGCCCAAACTTCCTCTTTACTGTTGGGATGAAGTCAATGTTGCTAGAATTTCTTCTTTAATTGGAACTCCTTTATTGATAGATGACAATATGTTCCAATGGAGTAGAAGGGAATTCGCTAGAGTTTGTGTACGGGAAGTTTACAAATGTGGTAATAGTGGAGAAGATCGAATGAAAGGTTTTCTCAAAAAAGTTGAGTATGAGAAGATCTACTCATTTTGTTACAAATGTGGTAAAATCGATCATTTGATCAACTCATATGTATTGGAGAAAGTAGAAGACAATGGTGCAGCAATAGTGGAGAAGAACGATAATGAGCTGGTTTTTGAAAATTCTGTACCTAAGGTTCCTTCTTATGGACCTTGGATACATGTTATTAACAGAAGAAATAAATAGACAGTTGCTGCAAGTAGAAAAAGGGTTGTTATTCCTATTAAGAACAATCTGAAGACATCTGTGCTGGATGATTCTTGAGCTCGGATATCTACTGTTAATAAAGATTATGAGGTGCTTATTAAGAAGGGAAATAATAGCGTTGATATGACTGGGGAAGAAATTATGAATGAGCTGGTTGTTGATCTAGGGATCACTAATTCAGAAGGTATGAATCCAAATAATGAAATCTTACTTTCAAAACCTGTTCTTGTTAATAAGAACAAATTTGATGTGTTAAATGATCTTGATGGGGAGGATGGTGAAAAAGGCATTGCTGAATAGTTTTGAGAGACTGAACCTGAAATTGAAGAAGGTGAATTCCTGAAACAAAGTGGTGAAAATGTGGCATTGACTAAATTTGGAGCTGATGTAGGTGAGGAGGAATGTAATGGGATATTGTTGGCTATGATGGTAAAATATCGGATTATATGGGAAAACCAAAGCAGAAACTTCAAAAAGAACTCAGATTTTTGGGTTCATTGAACTCTTCTTCTAGACTTAAAAAACTAGAAGGTTTGAGTAAGAAAAGGAGTGGGGGTCCTTCCCCCTTGGTAGAAAAATGAGTTCAATTGCATTTTAGAATTGTAAGGGGGCTAATAAGAGAGAAGCCTCTCTATACTTGAAGGAGGTGGTTAAAGATTGGGAAGTAGTTTTTGTGGGTATTGTTGAAACCAAGATTTCTAATATGGATAAATGCAATTTTGTTAAATACATGGGAAAAGTTGTGGTTTATTTCTGTTTCCTTATGATGGGATGTTTGGAGGGATTGTGGTATTATGGAGGTCGGATCTTGCTTCTTTTTCATTGTTTGAAGCTTCAACTTAGTGTGTTGTTGGGGAGTTGAAGGTGGTTAATAAGGGATCTTGGTTAGTTTCTACTATTTATGATAATAGAGATTTGTATAGTAGAAGGAAGCTTTGGGAGTGCTTGGGCTTGCATTCTTCATTGGATATCCCTTCAGTAGTTGGGGGAGATTTCAATTGTATTCTAACTCAAGAAGATAAAAGCGGAGGTAAGAAATTTAAATTCTCTCTTGCTCCTCAAGAGATGAAATCTTTTAAGAATGACTTTGATTTTCATGATGTGGGCATAATTGGTCCTAAGTATACTTGGTGTAACAATAAAGAAGGAAATGCTCACATTTGGGAAAGGCTAGACATGTGTTTATTGAATTCTAAAGCTTTAGAATTGGCCTCTTGGGCTGTTAATAGACATTTGGCATGGGTGGCCTCTGATCATTATCCCATAGTGATGAAGATTTTTAACAATGATATACATAATTCCAAAATTTCGAGGTTTAAAGATATATGGATATCTTATCCAGCTTCGGTTTCTATGGTGCAAAGATCTTGGAATAAATTTATTAGAGGAGAACTTATGGATATTCTCAATAAGAAATTTCATAGGGTGTTAAGGGCTTTATTCTTTTGGAGCAAAGCAAAACTTCAAATTTTATTTGAGCTGAAAGAAAAACTCAAAAGAAAAGTCGCTGAGCTTCAAACCGAGGAGGTGATTGATGTTTCTTTCCCAAATAATAATCGTTTATTGCTTAGAGCTAAAGTGCAGGATTTAAATGTGACTCGGGCTCGTTTAAACACCTGGTGGAGACAAAGGGTGAAGGCCAAATGGTTCGAGGATGGTGACATTAATTCAAAGTTTTTTTTTTCATGCATTTTTTAATGGTAGGAGGAATGGAAATTTGATTAAACATGTGAAAAATGAAGATGGTGAATTGGTGGAAGATCAAGAAAGTATTGAAAGAATTTTCTTTCAGTTATTTTGTAAGAAATGGAAAGTAAGGAAGTGTGAGCTGTCGGGTTGGCCAAGGACTATTAATGCATTAAGCAATGAAGATTCTATGTTCTTGGATGCAGAATTCTCCTTCGAAGAAGTTGAAAGGGTAGTTATGAATATAGGGAGGAATATCTCTTCTGGGTTGGATGGAATTTCTTATTCTTTTATTAAAGCATATTGGAAAAATAATTGGGCATGATGTTTGGAGGGCGATTATGGAATTCTTAGCTTAAGGAAAAATGTGCTTTAGTTGGAAAGAGATGTTGGTGGTACTTATCCCAAAGATTCAAAATTTGGTAGATCCTTCTTACTTCTGTCCCATCAATTTATACTTGTCTATTTATAAAATTGTTGCAAAAATTTTATTAAATAGATTAATGATAGTGGTTGATAAGCTGATTTTCGAAACTCAAGTGGTTTTTTTTAAAGGGAGATCTTTATTTGAACATGTTTTTTTTGTGCAAGAACTTTTTAATAAATTCATATTTTTAAGTCAAAAAAAGGTTTGGTGGCTATTAAAATTGACATGGAATAAGCTTATGATAGTATGGGTCTTTTTGGTTTTCCTTATGATTTTTCAAATCTTTTGATGGAATTTGTTTTAGATTCAAAGTTCTCTATCATTATAAATGGTAAAAATTGAAATTGGATTGAAGCGAAAAGTAGTTTTAGATAAGGGCGCCCGTTATCGCTATATTTATTTATATTGTGTTCCCAACTTTTATCTAATAGTTTTAATCATATTGGTAAAGAGTTGGGTATTAGATGCCCCTGCCCTTAAAACTTTGCTCCTTTTGTATGAGGATGATGTTTTGATGTTTTATGAAGCTAAAACCGTGCATGTTAGAAAGATAAGAAGGATTATTTCTGATTATTGCAATGGATTGGTCAAATAATCAATTTAAATAAATCTTCTTTGATCTTTGGAAAGTTAGTTGGCCGAGCAAAGAGGAGAAATATTTCAAATTTTTTGAAGTATAAAG